CCCCGACCCCCCCGCCCCGCTCCGCGACCTCCTCCCAGACCCCCCGCCCCGCGTCCCCGCCTCTCAGACAAGGGCTGGGGCTCCCGGGCTTGCCGCGGCGGGGCGGGGCCGGTCCGTGGGCGGGGCCTTCTGGCAGTTTCTGGGCGCTGCGAAGGCGCCGCTCCGGGGCTCGGCGGCCGGAAACGCCGGCTTCAGAGTCGCAGGCGCCCTGGCCTTTCCTTTTTCTCCGCCTAGGCCGTGCAGTCCGCGCAGCCATGGCCAAGTGGGGTCAAGGGGACCCGCGCTGGATCGTGGAGGAGCGGGAGGATGGGACCAACGTGAACAACTGGCACTGGTGCGGCCGGCGGGGAGGCGCGGCCGGCGGCCTCCTCCTTCCGGGGTCTCGGGAGGGCGGGGGCTGCGCTGGGGTCTCTGCGGGGCCGGGGGCCTGGGGACCGTGGGCCTGGGGACCGCGCCTCTCCTCAGCTGCTGGACGCGGAGCTCGGCTCCGCCTCTCGGCTCGCGAGCGTCCTTGAGTCCGGAGACCAGCGGGGGCAGCTGTGCTGGCCCAGGACGCTTCGGCTGCTTCTTTTTGAAAGTTGGGTTGGGCCGAGTGACTTCGACAGACCTTTCCACTCTCGCCGTCTGTGGGCTTAGGGCCTTCCCTTCTCCGCCCCACCCTCTGGATGTTTCCGGGAGTTAGAAGGGAGCTGGATTGAGGGTGTGTCTTGGGGGCCGGAGGTATGGAACGTAGTGCAAAGAGCAGAAATTTGCATCTCAGTTCGCGTCCACCCCGCAGGCGGCCCCGCGAGCCGGGCCCTCGGTGAGTGCGACAAGCTCTCCTTCTTATATGCGCCTCACCTGGTGCGTGGGGAGAATCTACGGAAGTGATGTCCTCTGCCCTGCGCCTCTGGCCGGGGCTGTGGTCCCTCCAGGCGGTCGAGGGGTTGCTGAGGCTGGTCCGCAAAGGAGCGTGACTTGGCTGTTCCGGAGGAGCTCTGAGGGCTTGGGCCCTCGGCCCTGAAAGAGCTTTCTTTTTTCTTTTCTTCTTTTTTTTAAACAGTCTCGTTCTGCCGCCCAGGCTAGAGTGCAATGGCGCTATCGCAGCTCACTGCAACCTGCGACCCCCTGATGCAAGCGATTCTCCTGCCTCAGCCCCCCCGAGTAGCTAGGATTACAGGCTCATGCCCATCACGCCCGGCTAATTTTTGTGTTTTTAGTAGAGACGGGGTTTCGCCATGTTGGTCAGGCTGCACTCGAACTCCTGACCTCGTGATCCGCCCGCCTCGGCCTCCCAAAGTGCTGAGATAACCGGCTTGAGCCACCACGCTTAGCCAAGAGCTTTCTAGTGTCCTAGCCTTGGCCCCATGGACATGTCAGTCCTCTCGGCTCCTTTCCATCCCCTAAAATGAGAATATTACTTGGAAAGATTACATGAGACAATGTATATGCGAAGACTTAATAGTTGGTATTGTCATGATTCTGATTATTTCTTTACTGCTACTTTGCATGTGGCCCAGGCTTTTGCCAATTTCCAGTAGGCGAGCTAGCTAGACCCTTCTCCCCTGAATAAGCCAGTGTTTTTAAAACAGAATACTACTTTGCATAGTGGACAATAATACCCTAAAGAACTGAGCAGGATGAAAGTAATTTGGTAGAAAGGTTTGAGGAGCACGTCAGAGTGGCAGGTCTCGAGGCTGCTTGAGAGGACTTAGGCTGATCTGGGCTGGGCTTGGACATGACCCTGGCACCCAGGCTGGGAAGGTGGATCCCAGCTGGGGGTTCCATTCACGACTGTGCCCTTCTGGTCCCTGGCAGGACAGAGCGGGATGCCACCAGCTGGTCCAAAGGGAAGCTCCAGGAGCTCCTGGTGGGCATTGTCGTGGAGAATGAGGCTGGACGCGGTGAGATCAGCGAGCTGAAGCAGGTGGAAGGTGAGGCTTCCTGCAGCAGCCGCAAAGGAAAGCTGATTTTCTTCTATGAGTGGAACATCAAACTGGGCTGGAAAGGTAACAGGAGCTTCAGAGTACTAGTGGGGCTGGGGGCGAAGTGCATTCATCATTCATCGAATGTTTTTGCAACAACTTCTGTGGGTCTGGCACTGACTTGCCCCTGAATCAGCATTAGTAGATCCTGACACTGGCCACACTTTAGTTCCTTGGTCCAAGAAGGATAGGGGTTTCCTTTCTCCCAGCCCTCGCAGCTGCTTAGAGCTCATTGCTGTCACCTGGACCCTGCCACGCACTTGTAAACACGAGTCTCTGGGCGTTCAGCACTCTTTCCCCAGGTAGCAGCCCACCTCCTTCAGGTCTTTGTCCTGAGTGAAGCCATTTCTCTGCATCCTGGGAGACCCCTGCCTTGTGCCATCTTTCTTCCCTACTTTATCTTTCCCCAAGGCACTGAAACTTGGTTCACAAAGGTTTTTGGTTACTGTCCTGCTCTATCTTCCTGTCATTCATTAGTGCAGGGATTTTTTTTTTAACAGCTTTGTTGAGACATAATTCACCCATTTATTGTATATAATTCATTGGTTTTCAGTATAGTCACAGAGTTGTGCAACTAGCACTACAATCTATTTGGGAACATTTCACCACCCCAAAACAAAACCCCAGCCCCATGAGCAGTCTCTCTTGTTGCCCTCCTCTTCCCCAGCCCCTGACGTCTCCTCACCCACTTTCTCTGGATTGGCTTCTGGACATTTCACATAGATGGAATCATGCCGGATGTGGTCTTTGGTGTCTGCCTTCTTTTACTTCATAATGTATAATGTGTTCAAGAGTCATCCATGTCGTGGCAGGTGGCAGCACTTTTTTTAGCTGATTAATATTCCAGGGGTGCATATTCTGCATTCTTTTTCTCCATTTAGCAGCTGTTGGGCATTTTGTGTGTGTCCATTTTTGGGGTCTGTGGGTTCAGTTCACCAGTGGTGCCTTGATCCTGGCTGGGCAGACAGCATGTGCACACTCAGTCCTTGTTGAGGGAGCCAAGGCTGTGGAGATGCGGGGATGGGAAGAGGAGGTGAGGGAGGATCTGGAGGACTGTGCTGTTGGGGTTTGGGCCTCAGCCCAGGAGTCAGCTCCTATCTGGACTTTGTGTCCCAGAGCAGTCCATGAGCTGGCCTCAAGCCTCTGCCCTGCTGGCTGCCTTGCTAGAGGACCAGGGTGTTCAGCCCCTCCCCCCTGCCTCAGAACAAGATCCTCTGGCTGGGAGTTTGCCTCCCTTGCAACCTCCCATGTCTGCTGCTGACTGGATCATGGCAGTCGGGCCCCCTGCCTGCTCCACCAGCACCAGGCTCTAGGGCCTGAGGAACCTTGTGGGCTTTGTGTCTTTTCCATCTCCCTTGGCTCAAAGCAACAGCTCAATCCTTTGCAAGATAAGACGGAGCCAGGCAGCAGCCAGAGGACAGACTATGAGGGCTTGGCCCTAACCCCTCCAGCTGCTTTCCTTCAGCAGCGAGTCTCTGGTGTGGCAGCTGGGACCCACTGGGGAGGAGGTAACACTCTAGTCCTGGGAGAAATCCACCTGCATGGCATCTGCACATAATGTCCCCAAACCAGAGCCTCCCTCCCCTCACTCCGTGTCAGAACACACTGTCCCTTTCTGTCCTCCCATCGCTTTTGTGACTGCTTCTCCCCTTCAGGGTCCTCCTTTATCATGCTTTGCCCAGGCAAAAAATACCCTGTGACAAGAAGAGAAATACCCCTCAGGATGGTGGGCTGCTGACTCCTAATGCCCTCTCCTTGGCCGTGGCCTGCCTGACCTTTCTCCTGTGGCTATTCCACTCCGATGGGGGCCCTGGAGTGGTGGAACCCTGTGAGGGTGACTGGGCCATTTAGTGAGGCAGGGCAGTTTTCCATAAAACCAATTTGACCTTCCAGCAATCCTCCCACCTCAGCCTCCCAAGTAACTGGGACTGGAGGTGTGTGCCACCAGGCCCAGAAAATTTTATTTTGTAGATATGGTGTCTCCCTGTGTTGTCCAGGCTGGTTTTTTTTTTTTTTTTTTT